AAAGCAGACCATCATACACGGAGTCTGGGGATTCTGAGTGCTGGGTTGGTACAGACCAGGGATACTCTCACAATTGGTCCAGACTCGACTTCTCTTCTTGCTTGTCTGCAGTTGAAAGTTACTTCCTCAACTCACAGACCCCCTCTACAGCAAGCTAATACAGAGCCTGGGCTCAAACATGGCAAGACTTTTATTCAAGGTGGCCACAGCAGCGACATTGTGCCGAGCATGACTCTCTAGACCTACCTAATGATGGAACCTCCAATCATAAAATTATTTTTTGTTGATACTTCATAATTATAATTTTACTGTTTTGAATCACAATGTAAATATCTGTGCTTTCTGATGGTCTTAGGTGACCCCTGTGAAAAGGTCATTCTGCTCCCCATGTGTCACGACGCACAGGTTGAGAACAATGCTCTGGGCTCTCCTGAAAACAGCGGGACCTGGGGTGTTTAGGCAGCTGGCCTTGCAATCCCCCCAGCCTCTGTGCTCCCACCTTTAAAAAATAGGGTTGGAGTTAGGCATGGTGACACACCCCTTAAGCTCAGCCTTTGGCAGGTGGAGACGGGGCAATGTGAGTTTCAGGCTAGCCAGCGCTACATAGTGAGGCCATCTTCAAACCAGCCAGCCAACCAACCAACCAACCAAACAAACAAACAAACAAACGATTTGAGATTGTCAGGTCCTGTCAGTTTATACAAGGATGCTGAGGTCTAGGTTTGGAACTAGCTAAGGATAGAGACATCATTCTGGGGAGCGGGGGCAGATGGCTGGATGGACATCGATAGCTCCTTCTGTTCCCTTGTTCCCTTGGTGACATGAGTCTGCAAGAACAATTGAAAGATCCTAATGACAAAGTTAAACAGTTGGGAGGAAGGAAAGGGACAGCCGGATGAAAGAGGCAGCCAGATATTCCTTTATTTCCTCCACAAAGCTCCCAGGAACTATGGCAACTGGATTCTGTCAGGATTACCTGAGTTGCTTAGTGTGGCCACTCAGCTGCCCAGGACCACCATGTTACAAGATGTTACAAGGCTGGACTTTCTCTCTCTCTCTCTCTCTCTCTCTCTCTCCTTCCTTCCTTCCTTCCTTCCTTCCTTCCTTCCTTTCTTTCCCTCTTTCTTTCTTTCTTTCTTTCTTTCTTTCTTTCTTTCTTTCTTTCTTTCTTTCTTCCTGTTCTTTGAGACAGGATTTCTCTGTGTAGCCCTGGCTGTTCTGGAACTCACTATGTAGACCAGGCTGGCCTCGAACTCAGAAATCCACCTGCCTCTGCCTCCCAAGTGCTGGAATTAAAGGTGTGCGCCACCACTGTCCAGCTAAAGCTGGACTTTCTTTAAACAAACAAACAAACAAACATTATTTAATTTTGTGAGGGGCAGGGCACACTTACATCATGGCTTGCTCTGGTATAGAGGTCAAAGGACATTAGTCAGTTTCCTTCCCCTTCCATGTGGGTGGAAGCTCTCTGAGCCATTTTCCTGGCCCTTGCTTTCTCTATCTCTGTCTCTCTGTCTGTGTCTCTCTCTGTCTCTGTCTGTCTCTCCCTCTCCCCCTCCCTCCCTCCCTTCCTCCCTCCTTTCCCCCCCCCTTCTCTCTCAAATTATGAATGTTTATGTGTCTGTTGGACCCCGCAGCCTGGAAGAGACTGTTATCTGCATGCTCCAGAAGATTCGGTCTGAGCTCGTGAGGATGACTCAGTTAATGAGGGTGTGTGTTGGGATGGGAGGCAGGGCCTTACTCTACAGACCAGGAAGTTTTGAAGGTCAAACCTGTAGGTTATTTCTTTTGAAATGTAGTATTAAAGCCAGCATGGTGGCACCAGGCTGTAATTCCAACACCTGGGGAGCTAAGGAGGTGGCAGGTCAGGTATTCTAGGTCAGCCAGGTGTACATTGAAGTCTTCTCTTAAGAAAATCAAAACCCAAAATGCAGGAGCTATGGTGACTATGCTTTGTGAAGCCAGCTCAGCTGGTGGCCCCAGGCCATTTTCACAACACCCTTTCTTGTCCCTCCCCTGCCAGGGGGAATTTTAGGATTCCTGAACACACCACAGTTTTCTGATATTGTAATTTTTTACATGGGCCCTCAGTTTTCATAGTAAATCTATGAAGCATGGCTGGCTGTTCATGGAATAGGAAAGGACAGTGTGTCCCTTCATATCTATCCCTCTCATGGCAGGATAATTTCCGTTACTGCCGAGCAGTAGCAACCTTATTCCTCTCGTCAGGAGTTTCTGCAAGCAGGGTCAGTGCTAGAGGCAGAGGGGATGGGGGTAGGCTATCTCCCAGAGACATCAGCTGATTTTGTGGGCAAGCTTTGCCTGCCTGTGGCCTTGTTTCTCTGCATTTCCTTTCCTGTCAGAGGAAACCCACAGTGCACCTCAAACTGTTTTGGGGTCCTGTCTCATTCTTCTGTTGGTGTGCTTGAAGTGATTTTTACACTTGCTCTGAAGTGGTTTTTACAGCATGCTTCTGTGATCTTCTGAAACCCCCCCCCCTTTTGACCTCTGGAGAACTTGGTGCGCCTTCTCCCAACCACTTCCGAATGGGGTGTCTGGCTTGCCTTGAGGAGACTTCATTCTTTCTGCTGGAAAGGGAGCCGTGTGGCTCACTGTAAGCTCTCCCATAGCTATGTTTTGACAAGGACACCGATGGTGCTGGACTTAACTTAGTTCCATACATAGCTTGTACCTTTGACCGTGCAGCCAGTGTCTAACAACATATCTGATATTGGATGTTAACTTTAAAGTATTTACTTATTCATTGGGGGTGGACACAGCCACAGCGTGCCTGTGGAGAGGGCTGGAGAGCAGCTGTGGAAGTCGGGTCTCTTCACTAAGTGGGTCTTGAGGACTGAGTTCAGAAGGTCAGGTTTGACAGGAGCACTTTTATCCACTGAGCCTCCCTACTGGCTGGCTGGCTTGGCATTTTTTGATGTTGTTTTACCAAGCCTCTCCCATTCCTTTACTCACTTTGAAATGCTAATCTAAACCCCCAGGGTACTCCTCTCCATGGGGTCCAGTGGGGTTTCCTTGAGGGACTCTGGCCTTCTCTCTATAGGGGCCCACTCTTTGCTTCCCACACATTCTGGAACAGGACTGATCGATCTCTGTGGACGGAGGCGCTAGGTCTGCCCAGGCTCCGTACCATGGCACACTGCCTTCAGTCCTGGCTGCCTATGTCCTGAAACAGACTTGAGTAGCTCTTCTAAAGCCACAGAGCCTGTCCTGCCTGGTTGGGAAATAGCCATACATAAAACAGCCCTGTGTACCAAGGCATCATCCGTCCAGGGCAGAGCCTGGACCCTGGAATATAAGTTCCAGGCAGGTAACAGCTCGGCCAAGGGCAGAGACTCTTTGCCCTCATGAAAGTCACTGTGTCCCTAGCTGCCCTGGGATGCACTCTGCAGATGAGAAATGAATGGGGTTTACTTTGGGGCTGTTTAGAGACAGGCTTTCGCTATGTATCTCAAACTGGCCTCAAAATTGATATTTAGCCAACAGTGGCCTTAATCTTCTAATCCTCCTGCCTGCCTCTCTACCTGTCAAATATTAAGATTACAAATATTTGCCACCAAATGCAGTTTTTGAAATGCTGGGATCAAACCCAGGGCCTTATACATGCTAGGCAAGCGCTTGGCCAAGCGAGCTGCATCTCCAGCTGATATGCTTCTCTTTAAGATTAAAAGCATTATGTCTGTGTGAGTTTTACCTGCATGTATATCTGTGCATCACATATGTGCACTACCTGCAGAGGCCAAAAGAAAACGGTGGATCCCCTGGAACTGGAGTTACAGGTAATCACGAGCCTCCTGTGCTGTGGGTCCTCGGGAAGAGCAGCTCTGCTTTACAAGGAGAGCAGCCTAGGGCTGGCCCAAGGTTCTGCGGTTAGAAGAATACACATTGCTCCTCCAGGGGACAACCTGAGTTTGGGTCCCAGCATCCATAGCAAGTGGCTCAAAACTGTCACTACAGCTCCAGGGCATCTATGACCCCTTCTGGCACTTAGCCCATGTCTGTCTGTCTCTCTCTCTCTCTCTCTCTCTCTCTCTCTCTCTCTCTCTCTCTCT